TCCTGGGGACTGAACCCAGGACCTCATGCATGCTAAGTATATATGCTCTACCACTTGAGCCATACCTCTCCCCTGCATGCTGGCTTTTAAAATTAGAAATGATCACCTTTGTAATAGAAAAGAATTGAATGAACTCTAAATTCAGCTGTTTCCATTCATCTAAATCATTGTCTGCCTTCGTTTCCTATACATTCATACACCTTAACAGTTTCTCTTTAGTGCATGTGTAAGGGATACTGTGTTCCACTTGCTCCACTTAGACTATTTTGTGTACAATTCCATGTGTTGACTGACACAGTGTTTTTAAGGCATCTGGCTTCTCCCGAGTTTTTCATCATGTTCTGCTGTAAGTCTTTGTACAAATTACTTTTGTTCCTTCCGTTTCTGAGTTATTTCCTTGAGAGTTATGTTCCCCAAACTGGAGAGACTAGAGCATTTAGTCTGTCAGCTGATGGTCTGCACATCTTAACACTGACACAACAGGAGTCTGCTTTTTAGAAAGATGGAAATGGTGAAATGCTTTGCAGGGCAACCAGTGGGGTATCTGCCTCCTCTGAGGCATCCCTTCATGGATTATCTCTTCTTAATTAGTTTGGTAGTGTCTAAGGGTACCTTAAAGCTGACTTCATGTGCATTTCTTTCATTGCTAGCAAGGCTAGGCTCTACCCTAAAAAGTAGCCCAGCGACTAACCTACCTGTGTGAGCAGATTGGTTTTTCATGTAACATTCTAGGTAAACATCTTCACGGTTTTCACACCTACTTAAGATTGCAGTCTGATTTTTTCAAGAACTTCCCCTGATATTTTCTCAGTTGTTTACTCGGCATTCATGCAGCGATCTGTTGGTGTATACATTAGCCACAGATACACTTCATGTCCAGGTGCTGCACTAAAGCTCACTGATTATTTGTGATGATTTTTCATGTTGTTTTAACTGTCAGAAGCCAAGACTCCCCCCCCCCCACTTTCTGCTCTTGCGTATCGGCTACTATTTGTCAGATGTCTGAGTGCCTACTATGTGCCGCACTGAGGCCGCAGGGGTGAGCAGAGCCGGCAGGACACCGCGCCCCCCCACCTCCCAGCACACCTAGGCGTCATTTAGAAACTAAGAAGCTGTCAGAGGTGGGGACTAACTTAGAAAGGTCACTGAAAGATGGCCGCTGGTCCTAGTGAGGGAAGCTCACTGAGAACACGCAGCAGAAGGTGGGCTGCACCTCTTATCAGATATTTTCAGCACAAGTTGAGAGAAATTCATGTTTACCCTATGTCATAGCTCTCAGTGTAATTAATGGAATAAATAATTAACTAAAGATCACATATAGAAGTACATCAAGACTGAATTGCCTTGAATTAGCCCAACTGAATCTAATAGTAGCAATAGGAGGTATAATAACTCTTTCATTTTGCTATTTTGAAATCTGCTTTAAAGGTGATTTGAACCTTAAGGTTTTTATGGTAAGTGCTGAGTTTTCCAAAAACAGGTTAACCATTGGAATTAAGGCCAATTAGAAAACAAAAGCTTGGAATCATCAGAATGTCCACACCTCCATAAAGGCGTTTTGAAATACCACTTATTATTCCAGATTCTTAAAAGTTGAGTCATATTAAACTAACGCTTTTGGAGCTTGGGAAAGTGTATATGAAAACTAGATGCTTCAAAACTAGCTCTTTGAAGGAAGGGACGAAGTCTTTATCTCTAGATCCCAAGAACCCAGCTAACACAGAGCTTCAGTGTTGAATGATTGCCGTTCACATGTAGTCTTGCAAGTTTAAAATGATCAGGTCTTTTTTTTTTTTTCTTTCTTTCCCCGCAGCTTTTGGCTGATGCCATCATTTATGCTCAAAAAAATAGTTCTCGGCAACTTTTCATCTGGCCCAGTGGACCCTATGATGGCTGACGCCATTGATTTCATGGTGGACAGGGTGAGGATACCTTGCCCTGGGAATTCTCATGTCTGCTTGGTTCCTAAAGAAATGGCTGTCTCGCTGAGTGTGTATTAGAGGTGTTAAGTAGTTTTCCATACTAACTTTAATACATCCAGGCAGGTAGTCCTGCTGGTAAGTAATTCATCAGAATCACTTGGGGGAGCTTTTAAAAATACAGATTCTAAGGCCTCACACCAGACCACTGAACTGGAATCCCTGGCCGAGGCACCTGGGACTCTATTTTCCCTCGCTCCTCCTCCTCTTCCATCTCCCCCAGGTGAGTGTGACGCAGCAGGTCTGTAGATTTGCATCTCAGAGCTGCCAGGATAGGTTTTTTTTCCTGAGGCCTCTCCCCGCTGTAAGATCACTTAGATGTCTCTGTCATCTTTGAGCTGCTAGAACTGGCCTGCTGCCCACAGGCACCTGGTTGAAGAGGCAGCTCAGGTTGAGGGCTGGGGAAGGGCCCTGTTCCCAGAATAGAACAATGTTACCACTTAGAGGCCCAGTTCATCGCTGGTGACCTTACTGGCCCCACCACACATACCACCACCTTTCTAAGCACAGATATCATCTGTGGATTTAATGTAAATGTGAAAAACAAAATTCATTAAAAAAAAAAACCTTTACCTGTGTTTGTTTCCACAGCTGGAAAGTTTGGGTCAGAGTGAACTGGCTTCAAGACTTACCCTGAATTGTCAGAATTCTTACGTGGAACCTCATAAAATTCGGGACATCCCTGTCACCATTATGGACGTAAGCAAGCTTTCTTTTAAGTAGAATAGATACTTTGCCTTTTTAAAATGTCTATATCAAGATCCACCTTATAATTATTTTACAATTTTTCAAAGTGCCTCTTCAAATGCTGCCTTGGATTTTTTCTTTTTTTTTACTGCCCTACTTTCTCAATTCCAAAATAATTGTTTTTTCTTTTTGCTTATCCTTTATTTTTCCTGGCAGGAATAACACCATTGAAATCAAAGTAAATTTAAACAAACATAGTCCTTACTCATTTTGGTTTGTTTTTGCCACAGACACCACTCTTTAGCTGTTGCACATCTCTGGGCAGCAAAGTGAAAGTGCCTCATGAGGGCGGAGAATCCAGAATTCCATAAAGTCTAATTGACATGAAAGCTTGCTTCTTATATTTGTTAATTGTAGTGAACTATATACGTAAGAAAATTTACCATCTTAACCACTTGTTAAGTGTACAGTTCCATGACATTAAGTCCATTAACATGTGGTACAGCCACCACTGGTATCCATCTCCAGCACCTTCCGCCATCCTAAACTGAAACTCTGTACCCAGTAAGCAGTAACTCCTCATCTCTCAATTCCCCTCAGTTCCTAGTGACCTCTGTCCTGCTTTTTGCCTCCGAATTTGCCTATTCTAGGTACCCCATATAAGTAGAATCATATAATTACCCTTTCGTATCTGGCTTGTTTCACTTACTTGGCATAATGTTTCCAAGGTTCATCTGTGCTAAAGCATGTTAGAACATCATGCCCTTTTACAGTTGAATAATATTCCACATTTTATTTATCTTTTCATCTGTTGCCAGACATCTGGCTTGTTTCCCACCTTTTGGCTATTGTGAGTGACGCTGCTGTGAACACTGGTGTACGAGTACCCACTTAAGTTCCTGCTTTCAGTTCTCTGGGGTAATCTGTACCTAGATGCGGAATTGCTGAATCATTTGGTAAATTCGCTGTTTAACTGTATCATCTTCCACAGGGGCCGCTATATAAGGCTTCAACTTCTCCGTATCCTTATCAGCACTTGTTAGTTTCTGTTTCTGTGATAGTAGCCACCCGAATGGTTGTGAAGTGGAATCTCTCTGTGGCTTTGACGTACTTTTTATTTCAACCATATAACTGTCCTGGCTCACGGATTTATTCCTAAATGCTGAGAATATGGTATTTCTAAGAATCAATTTTTATCAGGAAATTACCCACATACTGTAACTTATTCTCTGCTGTAACTGCTACGTTCCGACATTTACCAGTGAAATATTTGGTCCTCACATTGCATGTGCTCTGCTTGCCCTTTCAGAGCTGTTCATCACTTGGGTATGTGGTCACGTAATACCGCCTACAAGCTTGAGCAAGTTGGAGATGCACCTATTTTTGTTTTCATGGGGTTTTTTGGTTTCTTTAAATTACTCTTTGAAAAACTTTCTGAATGTGTGGATAAACATACATACATTTGTATGGGTATTGAAAGTTATATAGTCACATACTCCAAACTTCTAATAGTGGCTCTCCAGGAAAGGATTTGGACTTTTTGTCTTACACTCTTTAAAATTTTTTTTGAATTTTTTTCACTGAGCATATAACTACTTACATAACTTTTAATAAAATTAGGAAGTTCTTTGGGGATTTTGTGATCTTTTGAAATTGCCATTTCCACTAATGATTGTTCACTATTAATAGTCTGTTAATTCAAAAGTCCATGAACAATAAATGCTGGAGAGGCTGTGGAGAAAAGGGAACCCTCCGACACTGCTGGTAGGAATGTAGCTTGGTGCAGCCACTGTGGAAAACAGTATGGAGATTCCTCGAAAATTGAAAAATAGACTTACCATATGATTCAGCAATCCCACACTTGGGCATATATCCAGAGGAAACTCTAATTTGAAAAGATACATGCACCCCAGTGTTCACAGCAGCACTATATACAATGACCAAGACATGGAAGCAGCCTAAATGTCCATTGACAGATGACTGGATAAAGAAGTTGTGGTATATTTATATAACAGAATACTACTCAGCCATTAAAAAAGATAAAATAATGCCATTTGCAGCAACATGGATGGACCTGGAAATCATCACTGTAAGTGAAGTAAACCAGAAAGTGAAAGAAAAATACCATATATCATTAATATGTGGAATCTAAGAAAAAAATTTTAAAAAGGACACTATAGATTCATATACAAAACAGAAACAGACTTGCAGACATAGTAAACAATCTTATGATAACAGATACTAAATTTTGAAGAAAAAAATATTCTATTAATTTAGTTAACTGTGTTTGAGAAAAGATGGAATTTCATGGTAGATTTTTTTTCCCCAAAGAGTGCAAGAGACATTTGGCAGTAAAGTCTGTAGCTAACTTTTTACCTTGGAGTTGGAGTCACAGGGATGAGCAGGAGAGGGTGGCCCAGGCTACAGAGGGGTCCAGCGCTGTCTCTGCACTGGAAAGGAATGTGCAGGGTGGCACTTTGCTACTGTGAAAATATACTGAAATAACAGTTTCAGCCTCATTTTTTTTCTTTAAGGTGTTTGACCAGAGTGCACTTTCAACTGAAGCTAAAGAAGAAATGTACAAACTGTATCCTAATGCCCGGAGGGCTCACCTTAAAACAGGAGGCAATTTCCCGTACCTGTGCAGAAGTGCAGAGGTGAACCTTTATGTCCAGGTAGGTTGGAACCCAGAGTCTCTGGTTTGAAACAAAAAGGTTTGTTGGATTTTTTTTGGTGGCAGAGAGTAAGAAATACAGAATTCTCTATAGAAATGAAGCACTGACTTCTTATAATAGATTCTATTATATGTGACAGATAGATTCTAGGAGAGATCGATCGATAGATTCTGCTAGACTCTATGACAGACAGACAGACTGTGATTGGGAGGACGAGGCAGCAGCGGCTTACCTGTGCCCAGAACAGAGATCTGCTTCCACAGGCCTTGACTAGAGGCTTCTTGGCAGGAGGAGATGCTTGGGCAGGCACGTTCTTTTTTTTTTTTTTTTTCCATATGAGTGTGGATTTCTCAGGTCACCCCTGCCCTGTGAGAGGGAACGGTCTCCCCACGGTCCTGGGTGTGGGGGTTCACATGCCCCCGCCAGGTGTTGCCACAAGGTCCAGGGTCTGTTGCCCAGGCACCAGGGGGGGAGCAATTTCTCCCTATGGGTTTTAAAAAGTTTCTTTAGCGCTCCTGAAAACTTAAGGTTATTTGTAGTGGTTCCTATGGGTTGAAAAAATAACCCACAATAATTCTCACGTTCTAACTGCTACTTTTTTTTATAAAACAGCTTTAAAACTAGTTTTTAAATAAATAGATCCTTACCTGGGGTATTTCTGGACAGTAGGCTTATAAAGGATGTTTCTTTTCCTCTTTGTGCTCTTTTGAATTCTCCCTAAGTTCTACAATAAACACAAAAAGAATTTTCCTTCTTTGATCAAAACATATGCACATAAACACTTCTTTAAAAGGAAGACGGCCTAGATACAACACCTCCTTGACATTCACAGATTTGACAATTGCCATTTTAACTATCTGAGGAGGAGGCCCAGACAGGTCATTATTGTGTTAGAACAGCAGAGGACTGAAGGACCCGATTCATCATGGCGGGCGGTAGGGGTGGGGGTAAACACCTACCTGTGAAGAGCGTGCCGCAATCTTGCAGTTACCTAGAAATATCCAGACTGGTTACACAGTAAATGAGGAACAAAGATCTCAAATTGTGGTTTTAAAAATTATTTTTCGACTTTTCTGTTTTCCAGTTTTTCTCTAATTAGCATTGATGTATTTATTTTTATTGAAATATAGTTGATTTATAATATCATATTAGTTTTAGGTGTATAACAGTGATTCAACATTTTTATAGCAGGGGAGGGTATAGCTCAGGGGTAGAGCACGTGCTCAGCATGCACAAGGGCCTGGGTTCAATCGCCAGTACCTCCATTAAAAATACATAAATAAACCTAATTACCTCCCTCCTCCAAAAAACGAACAAAAATGTTTATAGATTATACTCTATTTAAAGTTATTCTAAGTATTGGCCATATTCCGTGTGCTGTACGATATATCCTTGTAGCCGATTTATTTTGTACACAGTAGTTTGTACCTTTTAATCCCCTACCCCTGTCTTGCTCCTTTCCCCATCCTCTGTAACGTCAGAAGTATAGAACATTTATATACAACAGTGACGTTGACAATGATTCTGCAGATACACCTGCTGCAATTCCACGGAACCAAGTATGCAGCCATTGACCCGTCGATGGTCAGTGCCGAGGAGCTCGAGGTGCAGAAAGGCAACTTCGGCATCAGTCAGGAGGAGCAGTAGCCGGGGCGTCGGCTGTCAGTGGTGAGTGACCCAGCGAGTCCACACAGTGACATCCGTGCCCGCCCGTCGGCCTCTCCGTTCGTCAGGTCCACCGCTTATCACTGTGTTTGGAACGAGGACCGAGTGTCGACTTTGTGACAGGCGGCAGCTCTTCTAAGCCCGTGTAACTATTCCCTCTTTGGTTTTTTTAGCTTTTGAATTTAAAGAAGTACTTTTGAAGACACTCATTTTAAGACTTGTGAAAATTTTGCTACCAAAAGTCTTCACTACTATGTTCTTAAGTTAACGTTAATTTTGGAAGTTCGGGATTTGTGGGGGGGGGTTTCTTTCCTTTTTCTTCCTTTTTGTCACTTGCTGTAAATGTTGCATATCCACACCGTGTGTCTGAAGGACACTGGTTATTTTTATGCTCCTCTTGATTATAAGCGTTATCAGAGTGCCAAGGCTGTCACCTATTGTTGGCTCTCCTGCAAATCAACTACTACTAATTTCCAGTTAAGCTCGTTGTTTTCCGTTTTGGCTGTGGTCTTTCTACCCATTACAGTCTTTGGAATAAAAATTCAATTTCAGTGGGTGGCTCTTGTGATTATTGTAGCTGCCAACTGGGCTTCGTACACACAGGACTTTCCGAGAAGCAGACTGGAGGGTCTGCCACGTCTGTGTGACTTTAGGTAAGTTACTTCATCTCTCTAAAGTGCAGTTTGCTCATTGTTAGCAGCTTAATAAATGACAGTTACTGTCACCTACACACCATGTACTTTTCATACCTTCTTTTTTCCCCTCGGTGGAAAATTTTAAACATAAAGTAGAGAAGAGAGTATAATGAACTACATCCCCATCACACAGCTTCAAAAATGATCAACTCATGGGCAGTGTTGTATCATCTCTTAGCTCATCCTCACTTTTTCCACACATACTTCCATCACCGGAATACTTTAAAGCAACTTCTGATACCTTATATTATCTTTAAATATTTCTACATGTACCTCCCAGAGCTAAAATAATGCCATTATCACACTTAAAATCAACTCTGTTGCAGAACATCCATTGATGAAAAAAGAAACACAGAACCTACCAGAAAAGATCTTCTGTGACTAAAGATACAAATAAGGAACCACAGCAAGATGCGTAGGAGGGGTGGAGTCGCAATATAGTCCAGTCCCATACCCGCAGGTGGCAGACCCACAAACCAGAGAACTACAATTGCAACAGATCCTCCCTAGGGAGTGGGGGTGGGGAGGTCTGAGCCCCACATCAGGCTCCCCAGCCCAAGGGTCCTGCACCCAGAGTATCTGACTTTGAAAGCCCAGCGGGGCTTACTTTTGGGAGTCCCAGAGGGCTGGTGGAAATAGACATTTCACTCCTAAATAGTGCACACAAAAATTTCACACGCTGCAGGCCTCGGGGCAGAAGCAGTCCTCTGACAGGCGCCTGGGTCAGACCTACCTGCTGCTCTCGGTCTCCTAGAGAGGCAGGCGGCTACTGCACCTCATCTGGACACACGGACACTGGTGGCAGCATGCTGGGGAGCCTGTGCTACCATGTGGACACGGGCTGCCCAGCGCCACTGTAGAATCCTCCTTCCAGCTTATTAGCTCCAGGGCCCAGGCAGACCCTGGCCCAACAGCCTGTAGATGCCAGTGCTGGGACACCTCCGGCCAGGCAACTAACTAGGCAGGGACACAGCCCCACCCACCAGCAGACAGGCTGCCTTACGATACCCTGAGCCCACAGCCAGGGTGCTTGCTCTAGCTTCCGGACCGACCTGATCCCAGAGGGGGCAGACACCAACAGCACTGGAAAAAAAAATAGCAGTTCCACAGCTGTGGACCCAGATTCCCAACAGCGGTCCAGATCCTGCACTGAGACCTGCTGGGCCCTGGACCCATGCACTAGCAGGCCAACACAAACTTCAGGATGCCCAGGACCCTGCAACCAACTATACTGGGAATAGGTCCAACCCACCAGCAATAGGACAGCAACCAGCTCAGGGACTCCTGGGCCCCATGACCAGATTCCAGGACCTAGCTCTGCCTGCCTGTAGGCCAGCACTAGCCCCAGGAGCTGGCTTTACCCACCAGTGGGTAGGCAACAGCCCCAGAGCCTCCTGGACCCTGACTCACCAGTGAGCTAGCACTAACCCTCGGGGCCCCCCAGAGTCCCCCGGAGTTCCACAATCAGCCACCTTGTGACCCAGTCCCACCAACCAGCAGTCAGTAGCCTCTGCACAGGGATGGACTCAGATTATCATATTAAATGAAGTAAGGCAGACTGAGAAAGACACATACCATGATATTACTTATGTGGAATCTAAACAAAATGATACAAATTCTATTTACAAACCAAAAACACTCACAGACATAGAAAACAAACTGGTTACCAAAGGGGAAAGGGCAAGGAGGGATAAATTAGGAGCTGGGGATTAACAAACACACATCACTATATATAAAATAGATAAACAAGGACCTACAAGGACCTACTGTATAGCACAGAAAACTATATTCAATTTCTTGTAATAACAAAAGAATTTAAAAAAAGATGTATATACGTATGTATATGTATAACTGAATTACTTTGCTGTACACCTGGAACACTACAGATCAACTACACTTCAATAAAAATGCTTTTTAAAAAGACCAAAAGCCAAAAAAAAATAAAGTCTATCTGTTTAAACACACACACATACACACAAAACAAAAACAAAAACACTAATTCAAAAAAATACATGCACTGTGATGTTCATAGCAGCATTATTTACAATTGCCAAGATATGGAAGCAACCTAGGTGCCCATCAATACATGGATGAAGACGTGGTGTGTATACACACGTACACATACATACACACACACACACACACACACACACGGGAATATTATGCAACCTTAAAAAGTGAAATGATGCCCTTTGCAACAATGTGGACAGATCTGGAGAGTATTATGGTAAGTGTAATAAGTAAGACAGATAAAGACAAATACCGTACATTATCACTAATGTGGAATCTAAAAAATAAACTTGTGAATATAACAAAAAAGACTTCAGATATAAAGAACAAACCAGCAGTTCTTAGTGGGGATGGGGGTGGAGGGACAAGACAGAGGTAGGGAATTAACAAGTACAAACTATTATCTATAAAATAAATAAGCTACAAAGATATATTGTACAACACGGAATATAACGAACAGTTTATAATAACTATAAATGGAATATAACTTTTAAAAAACTGAATCACTATGTTGTACAACTGAAAGGTATATAATACTGTACATCAGCTATACCTCAATAAAAATAAAGTTAGCTCAGCTCCACCCTGCCAGTGCCTCCACCATCCTCCTCAGACAGAAAGGGGGATAAAGTTGGCAGAGTCAGAGGATGTGGAGTTCATCTCCAACACACACATCAAACATACATCTACAGGTGGGACAATTCTCTTGGAAAAACAACTGGAAATTGGCAGAAGAGCTCCTATACAACCAAAGCTGCAAGAAAGATTTCCATATAACCAGATAGGATTGGGGGGGAAAGCCATCAAGTTTGGACCTGTGCCCCTAGAAGGATCTGTAAGGAAGAGAAGGTCTGAACGGGCAGACTCTCACCCTGGGGAGCAAGCAGGTTGAGCCGCAATCTGGGCATCCCAGCTCTGGGGTCCTGCATGGAGGAGACAAGCCCCCTTGCCTGCCGGGATTTCACTGGGATAAACAGAAGGTCTGGAGAAGCCTAGATCCTCTCTCAAGGAGTGCACACATGATGCCTTGCTAACAGTAAGGGTGAAGAGAGCCTTGTGCTGGTGGCTGCCACTGCACCGCACTTCCCAATCCAAAGAGGGGAACACATTGGCCCCACTCACTACACAGCACAGCCTGGGCTGAGCCCTGAGAAAAGGCCTGGTCTAGCTACACTAAGGCAGACCAGGGCACCCGGTGTGTAATTCAGTGGAGGCAGGGCGGCCACTGTCAGCATGTGCACACCCGCACCACAAGAGCACAGCCACAGCTAAGCGCTGAATCTCAGGCAGACAGGCCCTGGGAGAGGACTTTATTTAGCTATGCAGACACACCCCAGAAGACCTGGGGTGTGGTCCGGGTTGGGCAGCGATGGTCATTGTCAGTGTACCCAGAAGTAAGCAGTGGTTCATCTCCCTACAAGAGCGCCCCAGCTCTGCCCACTCCACACGGCAGCTTAGCCCTAGATCTGGGACAGACAAGTGCTGGGAGAAGACTGCCAGAGAGGCAGCCCAGATCTCTGGAGGTAGCAGAACCACCTCAGTTCCCGCAGCCACACACCCCAACACCCAGCCCCAGCCTACTCTACATCATAGCCTTGCACTAGATCTGAGATGAACACGACAGAGGAAGGGAAACGACCTTGGGCTGCTTCTGAGCAGAAATGTGTGTGCATACACAGGTGATTCACAAGTAACTCCTCTGTGATCCCAAGGGCCTCGTTTGTTCCAACAATCACCCCATTTGCAGCAGGACATGTGGCCAAGGGCAACAGAGCATGGTTGAACCCGATCCTCAGTGCTTCTACTCCAACAACTGAGGAGCAGACCCCATCCTTAACCGGACTGTGACAGCCATGGAGCAGAGAGAAAGCCCTTCCTCACACCCTGCAAGGCTCTAGACACTAACACCAACCACACCTTCTATCAAGAACCACACCTCCTATAATGGGCAGCACTCCCTGAGGAAAGATCTGGCTGTCATCCATGCCTACATCAGTCCTCACATCAAAAATATCAGACACACGGTCTGCACAGGGATGCTCCCACATAAAAACACCCCTTTAAGACCACAACAGACAACTATTTCTCCTAAATTCATAGAGACAGAGAACGTTAAGTAAAATGGAAAGGCAGAGGAACTACTCCCCATTAAAAGGGCAAGAGAAATTCCCTGAAAGAATAAATAATGAAACAGAGCTCACCCGTCTACTAGACGTGGAATTCAAAAACTTGGTAATATGCATTCTGCTCATTCTTATTGTGTGGTTGGCTTTATTTCTTTGATAATTACTTAAGTTTAAAAAGCTAAAGCTCTAAATTGTTCTTAGAAACCATGGTCAGTACGTATATGTAAACCAAAAAAATGTGCAGTATACTGTATATATATTTACGTGCAATATATTGTATATGTGCAGTCAAACAATTCTACCTAATAAAACTGAAAAAAGGTCATAATAAAAATGGTAATTGAATTAAGATTGTTGATAGAAATGCAGATCACTGTAAGAACTAAAAACTGTGAAGATGAAATAATCAAAAATAGACAATTCAATTGCTGAGATAAAAACCAATCTAGAAGCAATGAATAGCCAACTAAATGACACAGAAGAATGAATAAGTGACTTGGAAGATACAGTAATGGAAATCACCCAATCAGGACAGCAGACAAAAAGACAAGTGGGAAAAAAAATGAAAGCAATATACAAGATCTATGGGACAATATAATATATGCCACCAACCTATGCATATAGGGGCTCCAGAACGTTAAGAGAGAAGAGGACTGAAAATGCACTTGAAGAAATTATGGCTGAAAACTTCTCAAACCTAAAGAAGGAAACAGACATGGA